GCGTGCTCGTCGTTTCGCTAGTGGTAGTGGTGCTGGTGCTAGTCGTACTGGTTGAACTCGTGCTGCTTGTACTTGTCGTTTCACTAGTAGTGCTTGTAGTAGTAGTACTAGTGCTGGTGGTACTGGTAGTGCTAGTGCTACTGGTGCTTGTTGTTTCGCTCGTCGTAGTCGTACTGGTGCTCGTGGTACTAGTTGTACTTGTGCTACTCGTGCTTGTAGTTTCACTGGTTGTAGAAGTGCTAGTGGTACTGGTACTACTTGTGCTTGTGGTGTCAGTGGTGGTAGTCGTGCTTGTCGTACTGGTGCTCGTAGTGCTCGTTGTGCTTGTGCTGCTCGTACTTGTGGTTTCACTGGTTGTAGAAGTGCTGGTAGTACTGGTACTACTTGTGCTTGTTGTTTCACTGGTCGTGGAAGTACTAGTTGTACTGGTACTACTGGTACTTGTTGTTTCACTAGTTGTCGAAGTACTTGTGGTATCGGTGGTGGAAGTTGAGCTCGTTGAACTGGTACTAGTTGTTTCACTGGTAGTGGATGTACTAGTTGTACTGGTGGTACTAGTAGTGGTGGTTTCACTGGTGCTAGTGGTACTCGTGGTGGTAGTAGTCGTTTCAGTAGTACTCGTTGTATCCGTGGTCGTTGTTGTGCTGGTTGTTGGGAAAGTGGCAGCTAGACGTGCAACAGCTATAGTCGTCGTTTTTGCTAAATGCACTATAGAATAGACAAAGTTTAAACGATCAATGGATGATGAGTACCTTGTTGGCTGAAATAGACAGCTGGACCAACAATTCCAGCTGCTGCAACTAAGGCAATGAGTGTTGATATGAAAATCTTCAAAGGTAATGAACATTTTGTCGCACTGGCTGCAGCTTTCGTTCTAGAATTTAAAAAAAAATCGAATTATCTTTTAAACAAAATCCAATATAAAATTTTTACGTTGAACTTGTTACTGTTGGCACTGATCCTAGATTAATATTTAAACTAGGATTTGTTTGAGTCGGTGAATGCTTGTTGGGCCGGGGCTTTGGAATTCGTTTTGGTCTAACATTATCTCCTTCGGAAATTCTTTGTGGAACCTAAATTAAAACTTCTTTAAATAAATTTCAGCTTTGGATTATTTAACAAACTTCAGTTGGCGGAAGGTCTAAATTTGGTATTTCAAAAGCGATTGTTTCGAGCATAAGATCTTATTGGTCTATTCGTTAAACAATAAAGAATGTCAAATATTCGATCAATGGTTTGTCTTCCTTTTATTCAAGCAATTAAAAGAATGAATATTTCACTTCGTTTTCTTCTTCTTTCTCCTTCTGTCTTTTTCTTTTGTTTGTATTTCTGTGAATTTCTCAAGTGATGTACTCTAGTTAATGTACATCGAAAGTAATCGATTTGTCACTATAAAATAACAAAAAGTGGGTGTATTAAAGTGGATATTTTAAAATAAAATCAAGGCATTCATAAAAGTAAAAAAGAAATGATAAAGTTCAATAAATAATAATCACGCCATTCGAATAAAAGACTTCTTAGACGCCCTTCAGATACGTCAACTGTTGCAAGAAACATCTTAACCATGTACACACAGTTGTTTTTTTTATTTTCCATCAGAAATGAAATTTTCTTTTTTGAAATAACAACTTCAACAAGACACATTAATGATGTTCTTGTGCGATTTCATGAGACAAAGCCATCAAAAGGTTCACTTCGATGTACAAAGAAAAAAATCTTTGAAATGCTGGTCAATTTTGTGTATTTGACTAACTCGAACGAAAATACGTCGAATAAATTACGCAATCGTTTTAATTTGTCCCATTGAATTTAGAATATTTCAGTCAAAAACTTATACATAAAACAATGATTTTTAAATATAAGAAATTCTTCGAAATGATCGATAAAAAAAAAGAAAATTTGTAAAATGTGTGTTTAAAACAAAATCATTGATTTATCCTCATAGAAGAAGTTTTTAAGCAGGGGCAATGTTTTATCATATTTTAGTAATGAAAGATTTACTTTGAAATTCTCGAGATTCTTATAGAAGAGAAAAATTTCTTTGTAACTCAATGTAAAAGTTGGTTTTCTATTAAATTTCCGTGTGTTATAAAAAATACTCTAAACTTTGATTATGATTAACAAATGTCTCTGTTAAGAATTGATTGTTTACTTTGCCTTGCAAAATGAATTGAGTCTATTTCAAGGATTTTCAATTGTTTTCATGGTTTTTTTTCTTGATCTTATGAATGTAAAACAATAAAGATTAACATTTGATTTATATGTTCAATGAATTTTATTTCCAAATCAATCGTAGATTGATAAATATTGAAATGAAAGAAACCATATAGCGACATCTACACCTATTCAATATACGTGTATCATATTAAACGTATTAAAAAGATTTTCGTCTTTTTCCTTCTATGAAACTTGATGTATTTATCGTTCTTTCAAGCATATCGATATGAATCATTGGCACAGTGTCGAATATAAAGTGTGATAAAGTACACGAAATCCCAGTGTATATAAATATTGATTCAATTGATTTTTCCTGTGAAATTCTCATTTAATGTCTGCTGAAGGGAAACGAATAATTGTGGTTGCTGGTGGTACTGGAGGAATTGGTCGACATATTGTTGATGGTATTGTTAATACGAAGAAATTTATCGTTAAAGTATTTTCTCGTCAAGATCCTTCAACACTTCGTGATTTAACAGAAAAAGGTGTTATTGTTGTTCAAGTTGATTATTCAAATCATGAATTATTGGTAAAAGAATTACAAGGAGTTCACACTGTAATTGTGACATTAATTTCTCTTGATGAATCATCAATTTATTCTCAAATAAATCTTCTCAATGCTTCATTAGAAGCGAAAGTGAAACGATTTGCTCCATCAGAATGGGCTGGAAAACATGAAGAAACGAGTCCTATTGAACTTTATAAATTTCTCAAATTACCTGTTCGAGAAAAGGTCAAAGCTTCTGGAATTGAATATACAATATTTGTTAACGGAATTTTTATGGATTATTTTGCATCACCACAACGAGCAAGTGCATCATTACCTCCTCTTACTGTTGGTGTTGATTTTAATACATGTCAAGCAGACCTTTTTGGTACAGGAAATGAACCATTTTGTATTACTCGTGCTGATGATGTTGGTAAATTTGTTGCTGCTGCACTTGATCTTGATAAATGGGACGAATATACAGGTATGATTGGAAGTCGAATTACATGGAATGAATTAATCAAATTAGGAGAGAAAATAAGAGGAAAACAATTTCATGTAAAATATTCATCTTTAGATGAAGTTGTTCAACTTGCAAAAGATACGAATGATAATATTATGAAGAAATTTATGTATCAAGTTCATGTAAGTTTGATACAAGGAGAATTTGATTACGAAGACACTTTAAACAAAAAATGTTCACAAGTTCAACCAACAACAATTGAAAATTTTCTTCTTCAATGGTGGGATGATAAACAAGGACAAGTTCTCTAATTTTACTCTCCTCTTTTTAAAGGATATCGATATAAATCTATGTAGAATATCACATAGTAAATGTAATTTATTCTAAATGAGTAATAAATTTCGAAATTTAAAAAATCATAGCAAATAGATAAATATCGTGTTTTTACTTATCGAATCTAATTTGTGGACATTTATTTCATGATGATTTGTGTTTTGAATGATTATCAGAAGTCAATATTTCTCGAAAATGTCTCGTTAATAAAAATGCCTTTGTCAAAGTACATCACTTCCTTTTCTCACATTGATAAGAAATTGTATATAAAGAGCCATATAATATTTATTTATCAACATTTCACTTTTATTTCTTTCTATTCATTCGGATAGAAATGCATATTTTTGTATTCTTGATGATCGAATTTTTCTATCTTGTCAATGGTCAGACTATTCAAGATACGGTTATTTTGAATAAAACAGCAAAATCAATTGATCAAACATGCAACAATATTCATACTCTTCTTACTTATCAACGAAAAATTGTGAATATTCATGTTACAAAAGAAGCTCCTGTTCGTATCAAAATCGATATGGAATTGACATCTCCACTTTCATCAACATCGAAACATTCTTTCAGTGTGGAAGGAATGGTCTGTCATCATGGTTTTGATCGAAATGCTGCACAAGCTGCTTGTCGATCACAGAAGAAAAATCTACAAATGTTTTCACCAAATTATCAATGGGAACCATCAACTGATGATCTTTATGAAAAATGTTATTTTCAATTCAATAATGATCCATTTATTGTTCCATGTCAATTCGTCTTAGATAATTTCAATTGTACGGATAAAGCAACGAGTCTCAATGATTGTACATATTCGTCATTATTTCAACATCAATGTACAAATGAGATGCACGTTGGAATTATGTGCTCAGGAATTTGTAAGTGAATACAATTTGCATAATGATATAGAGAACATACACATATCTTTCTATTTATTTACTTGTTAGATGAACCTTCCGAAATAACAACAACTACAAGTATTCCTCAAACTCTCAGTAAGTGTTTACTTTTGTTGTAATATGAGTGAAATCTGGTTAATAAACGAGAAAAAGAGCGATAAAACAATCAAGTAATCATTTTGTGATGTTCGCTTGTGGATTTTGAAATTGAGAATGAAACTTGTGATATAGTGACTTTATTTTGACGAGAAAAAAGGATATTTAGCAAATTTACATTGTCTTTGTTTCTATCGACAGATTGTTCTACAACAACGTTTCTTGATCGACAATCATATCCAACAGGATCAGGACCAACGTCAATTGCACAAGCTGATTTAAACAATGATTCGTACATCGATTTAGTTGTGACAAATACGAACTCATTCAATATTGGTGTATTCATTAATAATGGAGATGGAACATTTCAAGCGCAAAATACCTATGAAGTTCCTGGTAGATCAGAAACTGTTAGAATTGCTGATTTCGATCATAATGGTGTGCCTGACATAGCCGTCTCAGCATTTTTTACTAACACTATCGACATATTTTCTGGAATTGGTGATGGGACATTCCAACTATCGAGAAAATTATCAACAGATAAACATCCGCATACGATGTTAACAGGCGATTTCAATGCGGATAATTTGATCGATATTGTCGTTTCAAATTTATATGGTTCAAGTGTTGGTATATTTTTGGCTAATAGGAATGGAACGTTTGAACAAATGAAATCTTATCCTTCTGATAATCAAACTTATTTATTAGCAGTAGAAGATTTTAATGGAGATAGAAATATTGACATCTTAGCTAAAAGTCCTTCCGGTTTGTTTTATTTACTGGGTGATGGTCATGGTACATTCAATTCGACAAAAGTAGATTTCGGCACAAAATATGTTAATGGTGTAGGAACTGGTGATTTTAATGGAGATACTCATTTAGATTTGGCAATTACAGATGGACACAATGTTCGCATATACATTGGTTTTGGAAATGGAACATACATTTTTAAACAATCATATGCCACTGCTGTCAACGCGTGGGCATTAGATATTCTAGTGACGGATCTCAACGTTGATCATAAACTTGATTTAGTTGTCCAAAACAGTCAAAAAGATTTCATAAGTATATGGTTTGGAAATGGTAATGCGACATTTCAGAAGGAAATCACTTATCCACTAAGTTCACATCTCGGTGGTCCAATGATTGTTGCCGATCTCAATAAAGATTTTTTGCCCGATATAGCAGCACTATCTGGTTGGAGCACTACTTCGTCTCTCAACATCTTCTTGGCTAAATGTGCTTAACATATCTTTATCGTTTTAACATTTGAACCGCCTATTCACTTTCAGCTCATTGATATTTACTCAAGATATAATAAACTTTCAGTTTTAGCAAAAACAACACTTGAGAGTGACGAAGTGGAATGAAAATGTTACCCCTCACCTAATATAAGGCTTATGTGATAATAATATTGATTCAATTAATTTACTAAAAGCTAAATTAAGTTAACAGTAATCAAAGGATTTCTCGTTGAACGATATAGGAGAAGGATGAATGTTTTATTGATGAAGTTATTAAAATAGGTTGTAAGTTTTTTGTTCTACTAAATATTCATACCGATAAAAGAGTTAGTTCAGAGTGTAATTAGAAGAAAGATTAAGAACTTCATTGACTACTAGACACTGAAGAGTTTAATTTCTTAGAGAGTTCGTTTATCCGCTGTCGCAACTTGTCGGAATCGATGAGATCTTTATGTTTATTGGATAATTTTGTCTTTTGTACTTTGAATGCTGCTTCGAGTAGATCTTCGGCTTTTTCTAGTTTACGATTGATATCAGCATGCTGATTGTTTTGTTCTTTACTGGCTCTTGTTGTAATCTCTTCTACAAGAAAGTATGCGAGACGAAATTTTACTCGCGCTATATCTAAGTGTTCCGGTGGTAATATTTTTGTAAGATCCTTCAAAGCTTGTGTGACACATTTCTCTGCCTTTGTATGATTTTTCAGTAAACTGTATGCGCTTCCGAGGATTTGAAGTAATAATGAACGCGTACGAGTTCCCATACTTGTCTTATCCCGAATGTCTTCGAGTATTTTAACAGTATTTTCTAATAAGTTTTTCCGATCTTCGGCATAAATGCGTTCATCTTGAGCTTGTTGTACTCGAATGCGCTCCATACCAATAATGGCTTCGAATTCGTATCGTTTTGAAAAACTAGTTTCTTTTTGTGAGGTTGAATTCGATATCTCTTGTAATTGTTTTCTAACATCTTCGATTTTCGAAATGTACCCGTTGGCCTCCTTCAAGTCTTGATCATCATTCAGCTGTTTACAAATGTACCACATCAAAGTTGCACTCCATTTTGTATTCGGTCGATCTTCATTTTGACTTTCCTCGAGCATTTGACTCGCCTTCTCGTATAGTTTACTTGCTTCTGAATACATACGGCGTTCGTTGAGATTGTATGAACCTAAACGGCATAACAGTTCGACAAGTATATCAGCGTATGTTTCTTTGCCGTTCCAATCTTTCGTGTGCTTGATTATAGTAGTTGCATGATCAAGATAATAAACGATGTTATGCTCATTTAATCGCTCGTCGTTATAATAATTATAGTTAAAACCTTGTTCAATTAGTGTCATGACGTATTTCCAAGCAGATGATGTTGTATTATTTAGTAACGGTTTGTTTAGCGCTTTAACATATGTACTTGGCATACTGTAAGCTTCTACGTAATTGCAGAATTTACGATTTTGGCTGTCGTATGTATGTATGTTTGGAACTAATATATTTTGTTTTAAGATACAATGTCTTATTAGTACTGTTAGCAGATCTTCAGAAAATTTTTTAGCATTTTGATCGCGTATGTACGAACTAATTGTGTCTTTTTCGTTTTTCAATAATATGTTGTAAAGATCCTGGAATATCTTATAACTTATACTACCAGCGTGAATCAAACTAAAAACTTGTACACAGGTATAAAATGATGGATAGCGTTCATTTAGTTTGGTTAAGGATAGTTTAATCAAGAGCGAAAGTAAGTCATCTGTTTCAGACGAAGATGCTTGTTTGACGGCATTATTAATTGACGTTAAGTCTTGATCTGTAATTTTCTCCGATGTTAATAATAATGCTGTTAATCGTATTGTTAATCGACGCACGTCATTTTTTACAATTTTGCGAATGAGTTCTTCTCGTTTTGTGCGAAAATCTAGCGAAGCATCGGATACTATCTTTCCCATGATCCACGTTTCGGCCTCTGTCATTATAATGTTTTGCAAATGGATATACAGCCAGCAATCTTTATCATATTCGTTACCTGGCGTTGGGACCGGTTGAAATGAACTCGGTTGATTTACACTATCATTTGTTTGTAATGCTACAATGTGGCATCTTCGTTGACGGCGCACTTCGGGATTTGCTATAGCGTTACTCAAGAGTGATAAAAGTTTGTGGCATCGAAACTGACTTGGCTCAATAGAACTACCGGATGTTGTACTTGTTATAGTATTGGCTGGATAGATCGTTAGTTCAGAGGAAGTTCGCTCATCAAATTCTTGCACATTATCAACGACCAATAAGATATTGTTAATTTTTGAAGTTGATAACATTTCCTTAAGCACAACTTCTTCTAGTTCATCCATGGAACGTTCAGTGGAAGGAATACAAAAGATTTGAGCCAAATAAAAGAATGTGCTGATCAGTGATTCATTACAATCCAACCACCACATAAAATCATAATGATTGCGTACATCTCGAATCAAAGATAATAAAACTGCTGTCTTGCCTGAACCGCATGGAGCTGTAATGATAAGTTTCTTAGTTGAATCCATAAAATCAATGGAATCCGTATTTTCAGACTTCAACAATCCCAACTGCTTCTTAAATTCTATGATAGTTTTATGATCAACTGGTAAATCACCATAAGCATCTTGTAAAGGACGAATGTCAAACTTCGTATAAGCGCTAGGAATATTACTGATGTTATACACATCTAATTCAGGAAAATATTGTAGCCACAGTCGCGCTATAGTCATTTCTTCTTCATTGGTAAGCGTCATAATTCCTTGTTTTCTTTCTTTTTTGACAGCCAATCGTTGCAGATTCAGTGCGCACACTACCATAGCGGCTTGGACAGAACGAATAGATTCGCCAAGCACAGCTCGATGAAAAAAATTAGTAGCATTGCCATCGCAAAGTAAAATGATTTGAATAGGCTCTCGATTTAGACGTGGTAATGTATAACGAGAGAAACTACCGGGATCTGGACTGTCGTTCTTATGTTGTTTCAAACCTTCGTGTAGATCTAATTCATCGTCAGCCGATGTGCACGAAGCGATTATAACACTTTTAATATCGGTACCGACAGTAAGCAGATCATTGTATGTAAGAGATTTATTACCTGTAGCACAGAAAATAAATGAAGCTTGTTGCAACATTTGTTCTTTAGTACATATAACAAAATCATGTGCGAGAGCACGAATCATGATAGTTGGATTGACATCGTATATCATTACTTTACCAATATGTTGTTGTCTCAAGTGCATTGCAATACTAGTACCAATCTTACCAAAACCAATTACTCCTATGACACTGTGATCTTCTAAACGTAAATCCAATGACTGACGAAGAATGTTATCTGCTGCGCGAACAATAGATTTGCCAACATTATAATCTTCGGCCTTCTTCATTTCACTGCGAGCCACAGAATAAATATTTGGCTGCGTCAAATGCGAATTTTGCGGCTTCAAAAAAAGTTCCAATTCACGATGATATTTTTGATGGCCATTTTCTGTATCTTCGACGATTCCTAATAGTTTCCATTTGTGCCCAACAGAATCAGCTAACTCTAATAAGCAAGATGCAAAATAACCTCCAAATGTCCATGATTATTATTTCTTCTCCGTTATTATTGGTTACAGATGACAAGAGTTCAATGGCTCTTCCTGGTAATCGGAGGTCATCCTTTGTCAGCTTTTTAACAGCACTGGCAAATTCGTCGCTCTCTTCAATCCATTTAGCCATTTCCGTTATGTGTTGAAAATAGTGCAGAAGTTTAGGCGGTCCGTAAACTTGACTTTTCATTAGGGTCTGACTGGCTTTTTGAGAGCAAAGGTGGTTGACTACTTATATTCGCGGTGGAATAGGCATCAGATAGGCTCTTTTGTTTCTTGGCCGTAGGAATCTTCGGGTCGGAAGTGTTACCTCTTTTCCCTGATGTTGCGAGGGGAAAAGTCGACTTTTGGTTTGCCAAACTTGGTGTTTCCACAAAAGATGTCAATGGTATAGGAGAAAATGTGTCGTGCACTGCTGTAAAAAAATCTGTTACCCTTTTTGCAGCTGCACTTGTACCACTGGTGAGCTCTTCAAACGTAGACATATTTTCAAATAATAAAGAGGGATGTCAAAATTCTAACTACAGAATTATAGAATTTTGCTAAAGTATATAATTATTAGTTTCTTATTTAACAAGTATAAGAAAAACAAAATTCTTCAGAAAACTACTTCTTTACATCAGAATTATGCATCTACACATGTCGACTGTAGTATGAATATAAAAGATCTAAGCAGAATTGTTTTTCACAGCAGAATTCATCCAGAATTTTGGATTCTCTACAGAATTATGTGTCTACACATGTCGATTGTAACACGAATATAAAAAATCTAAGCAGAATTATGTTTTTCACAGCAGAATTCATCCAGAATTCTGGATTCTCTACAGAATTATGCAACTACACGTGTCGATTGTGACACGAATATCAAAAATCTAAGCAGAATTATGTTTTTCACAGCAGAATTCATTCAGAATTCTGGATTTTCTACAGAATTATGCAACTACACGTGTCGATTGTAACACGAATATCAAAAATCTAAGCAGAATTATGTTTTTCACAGCAGAATTCATTCAGAATTCTGGATTCTCCACAGAATTATGCAACTACACGTGTCGATTGTAACACGAATATCAAAAATCTAAGCAGAATTATGTTTTTCACAGCAGAATTCATCAAGAATTCTCGATTCTCCACAGAATTGTGCACCCACGCTTGTCGACTATACTATGAATTTCAAAAATCTAAGCAGAATTATATTTTTCGCAGCAGAATTCTGAATTCTGAGTGGAATAATGAACTTACACACATCCTGTTTGCATATGTCACTTAGATTTATTTATTTTGAATGATATTTTGCACTATGGTGCTCCAGTCAGTATTTGTTTTAGGTAAAGTAGAATAATCAAAACTTAGTTCATTCCCTAAAGTGACGTTAACATTGCTGGAAGTGCGTGACAAATTGTTTGAGTTCGTTTTCATCGTGATGTCTGATAAATGCGATAGCGAAACACCTTCAACTTTGGGCACCGAAGCAATCTGTGCAAAAAATTTACAGTGACAGGCCATATAGTATGAATATTAACTCACGA